GCACCCTCTCTCATCGCTTTGAAAACCTGTACTGCTCTCTATCGCACATCGTCATCGTTACCATCTTCAGAAGCTCCTCTAACTCATCTATCGTTTGCCCTGTCTTTTTTTTTTTTATGTTTTGCCTACCATCATCCCCTTCAATCACCTCGAACCATGGATTGGATCCTATCTCAACTCCAACTGGCCTATCCTTCCTCCTCCTCCCCCGTCGGCCACCGATCGACTCCTGGTCCCTGGAACTACCTACTTACGTACACCCGCCCAAAGCCGCAGCACCTTTCCTCATCCGCTCCGACCACTCACCCCTATCCCTCACCCATCATCGATCGTCACTCATACATACTCACCACTCAACCACCTCGATCAGCCACTTCATCTCACCTTAATCACCTCTTGACCAGATAACTCCTCTCATCTCGATCGACCAGAACCTCACTCAAACCGACATCACCCTCACTTTTGAAGGATCTGATCATGTCCGACTCGGCCGGTCTGGAAGAACCACGTCTCAGAAGTCCATCTCCCGGTAGAGGTGGAAGATTTGATGATGGTGGCCGACGCTCCCCTCCTCCACCCGGAGACAGGTGGAATGGTGGAAATGGTCCACCTGGATCAAATTCACGTGGAAGATCTGTTGAATTTGGTAAGCCCCCTCTCTCCCTCATTCCTGCTCTTGTACTCACTATCGTCCTCTTCGCCTACCCCCACATTCGTGTTTAGGTAGGAAACGACGGAGGGATGAGTCTCCCCCCAGTCGGGATCGGTATATCCCCAATTACGAACGTGAGCCATACAGAGAACGAGACAGACGAGATTATCCTTACCCTATCCTTGACCATGGTGGGTCATTACCACGTCCATCCACCTTACCTATCGTCAGAACCTCAGCACTCTGGGTCCTCGATTATCAATAGCACAGAGACCCGCTGAACCTGTGCCCCACCCCACTCACATCATTTGTCCCAACGTTCGAGTGCTGTCAATTTCTAAGTCATCTCTTCAATCACCTTCTTCTGCCAACAGATCGTCCAGTTCGCCATGGCCCAAACCCCGAAGTCTTCGATGACCCCTATCGGCGTAGTGGAAATGCTTATCGTGACGACATGTTTACGTATTCGCCCGATCGCGGTCTATCAGGTCGTGGGGGACCCAATCACTCGTAGGTCTCTTCTATTCTGTGTTGAAGCTTGGGCCTCCTACATCTTCTGACTTTGTTATGTTTTGTTTCTGTTTTTCTGAATCGATGATCTGACAAATGGCTCCAGTCGTTCCCATCTAACACCACCTTCCGAGGTCCCCCACCTTGTCTCGTTTCGGTATTTTGCTGATTTCATGCGCTCAACCTCCCCACACATTGCCGAAGACAAAGAGAAACTTGCCGAGCAATGGAAACGGTACCGTCAAGATCATACACGAAAACAACTTGTTGCCTTCTTTGAGGAAAATAAATCGAAAGCTTGGTTCCGTGAGAAGTATCAACCTGGTCCCGAGTTTGAAGAACTTCGACAGCGATTGAAGAAAAAGGGAAGAGAGGGCAAGATTGAGAGTTTTATTTCACGGCTAGAGAAAGGCGATTTGGATATCCTTAACTACGATTACGCCTGTAAGTCGTGGGAGTCGCTTCCTTTAACGTTTGGCTTTATCACTCGGCTGACTCGAGCCACAATTTTGAACTGTAGCCGCTCCCACTTCAATCAAGAGGCTGGTGGTCCCTAAATCATTGACAGATCAGCTGGAAGACCGTGGTACTTCCGGCCTCAAGACTGACCCTGGTCCTGCCGCACCGTCAACTCAAGCTCCGACCACAAGTCAAGACGGCGAAATAAAAGAATCTACACTCCCACCAAAGCCAGACTCCGAGGTCACTACAGTTTCGGAGGGTAAGTCTGATATTTTTCTCTACACGTCTTCTACTTATTTACTCAAAGTGAATCGTTTTGGTTTTGCAGTTGGCAAAGTCAAGACCGAATCCGATGCAGATGTGAAAAATGAGATCACTTCGACCAACCCAGATGCGGAGGGAGAAGATTACGAAGAGCCGGATGATGAGTTCAGTGCAAGCATGGCCGAAGCATTGAATGGTCCGAATACAGGACTAGCGCCGTCCAGTGCGTTAGGAAGCCTTATTGGTGAAAGCATGAGAGGCAAAATGGGCTCTGATGATATCGTCATCTTACCCCCTGCGGATAATCAGCTTTTCATCAAAAGCATCAGCCCCGATATCTCTCGTACAGAACTGGAAAACGTGTGTTTTGCCTGTCCTATCATTGGCCAGGTACCATCTCGCTGATACCTCGTTTTTACGGTAGCATTGCAAACAAGTGGAAGGGTTTGATTACCTTGCCCTGTCAGATCCCCACACCGGGAAGAAACTACATCGGGTCGGGTGGGTGTCTTTTGTACCTGGTACTGACATGAAAGCGGCTGAAAGCGCACTTGGAGAATCAAAAGTAAGCTGAAATATTCAATGTGTGGGTATCTTCTGAGTGACTAATGCAACCTACCGTAGATCAATAATTTTACTCTACATCTCATGAGAACCGAACGTCCGGCGTTCCAGAAGCTACGTCTCTGTCCGGGAATCATGAACACACATGAACGCATTATCAAGGATTTGGGGCAGATTCGCAAGCTTGCCGCTTGTTTTGAAGCTGAATATTTCGGAACTGGTTCGAATCAGGAGAAATGTGGTAGCACGGCCATCGAAGCCAAAATCAGCAAGATGAAAGATGAAACGGGGCAGAACCTCGAGTCAACATCCAAGCAACCACCGGCAGATACAGGCGGTGGTACCCCTACGCCCCAAGATCCTGGACTTAATCCTCAGGATTCGGATCTCAAGCCGGATCTACCTGAAGAGAAGAACGTGATGCTCGACAAAAAGGCACTGGATTTTTACATATACTATCTCCGAACTGTATTCAACTGTTGCTATTATTGTGTATGCATCTGTGATTTCCAAGAAGAACTTTGTCGGAGATGTCCCAAGCATGTTCGGAAAGCTCCTTCCCGCCACCTTGATGATCACTCGACCACCGCCACCCCGCAAAGTCACAGAAGGAATGCCAATTCTCAAAATTCGACCCATCTCAAGTCCAACGAGAGCAATTGGGCACGTACCCTAGACGACCGGGTTGCACTGATCCTGACTCCATCTGAAGTCGACCCTCGAGAGTTTGGCGGAGAAAGGATTGATGAGTGAGTCTACTTGATCGAAATAGATTCCTACCGTTTTGCGTGCGCGCATCCTCCGTTGACTCAACCCGTGTACTTGTGATCATTTGTGTAGTGAAATACATCGATTGTGCCAGCCTCAGATAACCGACGAGGGTGCCGGGAAGTTCCGGTGTAAGAGCTGTAGCAAACTTTTCAAAGCAATGAACTTTATTGAGAAGCACATCATGTCTAAACATGGTGAGGTGATCAATCAGGACTCCATCGAAAGGGTAAGTCAGACTTGGTCGGTGTCACACAAATAAGATCGCTATTTAGTTTCTGACAATAATCGGATTTTTCCACCTTGACAATGTAGATCAAATACCTTAACAATTACATCTTAGACCCCTCCCATACCACTCCTCAGCCCCCACCACCGCCAGAATATGGACACTCCCGAACACACAATGGGATATCAGCAGGCCCGCCGGCCTCTCATGGTATGATGCCGAGTATGGGACATGGCCACCCTGCCGATTTCCACAACGGAGGCTACCCCCCGATGATGAATAGCACGATGTCGGGGCCAGGTGGGATGATGATGGGTGGGCCGTATGGGAATTACATGCCCCCAATGTATCCGTCCTATGGACCTGGCCACTCCTACCCTCCTCCGATGAGTGGTCCTCCACCGATGTTTCCCAACGGCCCGATGATGAGCGGACATGGGAACGGCGGAGGCCCTTCGTACGGCGGGCCGTATTACATGGGTAATATGGGCCCAGGCGCGCCCTATCCACCGGCCTACCAGCCCCACCACCAAGTGTACTCATCTCTACCTGCAATCCCTCCCCCGGCCCGTCCTCCCAATGGAAATGCACGTCGTCTCGGCGATCGAATTTCCAGACACTTCGCCGATGATCTTGGATTACCTGCTCCCCCTCATCATCATGATCATAAACGATCCCGAAGAGACGATTTCACTCGGCCGACGAATGGGTCCTTCGCCGGATCAACCACCTCCAATGGCCCACTTCCCCCTCTCGTTGCGTCTGATCCTCGATCTAAAACTGTTCTCGCATATAACGACCTTGATACTCCTGCTGGGGATGAGGTGGTCTTGAATTATTGAATGTTTTTTCAGTAAGCTTTCTTATCTTCTCCTTGTTTAACTTAAAAAATTCCATTTCATTGTCATCAACTAACCCTGACTGATTGTTTCCTTTTTTTTTTGGTTAAACCTTCATCAGGTTCACTTCATTTCATTTCAATTTTTTTTTTTAATGTTGATTGATTAATTGATTGTGTTACATAGTTTTATTTTGTGCCTTGTTTTTTTTTTTTCTGTCACTGATTGTCAATTCAACTTTTTTTTCACAAAAAAAGAACCCTAGTCCTATATTCATCATTTTTTTACATACATATGTCTGTGTCATGTCTCTCTTTGTGTTAAAATACTACTTCTACAGACCATGATATCTATATCTATGTGTATATACATACATATAGCTATACATATATATATACCTTTCTCACCACCAACCCCCCCCCCCTTCTCCATTTTTCTTTCCTTTTTTTTTTTCTGTGTATGCTCTCTGACTCTGTTTGTTAATCTTTCTTTTACTGATCCTGGCAATGTCTCCTCTTTTTTCATAAGCAAGTTCATAGAAATAAAGAAATAAAAAAAATAAAAAACAATCATCTTCATGATCCATCTGTGTCTGGGTCAGTCTTCAACATGTGAATCTTTTATTGCTGCTCAAGTTACTGTAGGATATATGTTTTCCATGTGTAGTTGATTGGTCACTCTTCCTTGTGAGTTCTTCACTTGTTACATGCATACTACCTGATTGGCTGGAAGGAATCCCTGCAGGTTGGTGAGGTAAGTACAGCTACCTCCCAAATCCCACAAACCCAAGGTGGGCCTGGCCTGCCCATGAGTGGCCCAAGTCCATTCTCCCCCCTAAGCTGTACTTCACTGACCTGAAGAGATTTTTTTTTTTTTTTTCCCCCCGAACACTCCTTTTGGTAAAAGAGTTGTTGTCCTCCACGGCCCTAGAGAAACCCGTTTTATTCAGAAGGGAACCCCCCCCTCAAGAACGGAAGAGATTCTCTTTGGTAGAGAGGAAAAATTCCCCCCCCCCCCCCCCCCCCCATGCATGAGGGGTGGTTTAGGGAGCTGACTCCTAGAGAATTGGAAAAAAAAGGCTGGATGAATTTCAAAACTGGCTGGCAAATTAGAAAGACATCTGTTGACGGTTGTTGGGAGCAGTGGACTAATACTCAGGAGCTGTTTTTCTAACAGCCTTTAGATTATACTGCTGGGATAACAGGATGAGATTGTGCAGTGGAAGGATCATCAAGATGAGAGAGGAAAAAAAAACAAAACTAGAACAAAAGAGAAAAAGAGAAAAAGAGAAAATGAGAAAATGAGAAAATGAGAAAAAGAGAAAAAGAGAAAAAGAGAAAAAGAGAAAAAGAGAAAAAGAGAAAAAGAGAAAAAGAGAAAATGAGAAAATGAGAAAAAGAGAAAATGAGAAAATGAGAAAATGAGAAAATGAGAAAATGAGAAAATGAGAAAATGAGAAAATGAGAAAAAGAGAAAAAGACACAATGATCACAGTGGATGCATACCTGGGACAGCAGAATGGGTTTGTGGACTGAAACTTGAAAGGATGGGAGAGTATCCTTCCACAAGTGCTTCCCCTTTCAGATAGAGTATAGCTCTGGCAACATGTCTGTGTCATAAGGCTGTAGCCTGAGGCAAAAAACAGGAGTGAAAATGAAAATAAAACTCTCAACTTTTAAAAAAGTCCTCTATTTTTTTGAGGGAGGGGGGGGGGAGGGGCAGGAAGGGACACTCCTGGTGTAACTTTTTGTGCAGTGTTTCATTCAAGGATCACAGAAATCAAAACCATGTACAATTCTTTGGAACTGGACTGGAGCACATGCATGATTGTCAAGTTAAATGTTGTTGTTGGAGGTACTAATTAACCTAGAATATAGAGATTTTTTTGGATTTGTTTTATAATCAGATTCAGGGCAAGTGGGTCTTTTATCCTGACATTGGAGTTTGATTCCATTTGTAAAGACCAGGAAAGCTCCTTCTTGCTTCATTCCAATGTTTTTTGTTTGTAAACAAAAAACCCTGGCTTGGAAAGGAAAGGAATTGCAAAGGACAGATAGTATCTCCATTTCATTTTTCCCAAACCCAGTACACTGGGGTGCATAACTTGTGAAACATGCTTGTTGGAATTTTGCTCCTTGATCTCTGCTTCTCATCTTTCACATCACATGTCACTCATTTGTCATGACTGTTTTTATGTCATTTCTTATTCATTATGCATCAGACTCTGCTCCCACAACTTGTGCATGTTTTTATCTAGATTATTTAAGACAGTCTACATAGTACCAAGAAATGAACACCATCCACCATGAAAAATTTGAGGGCAGTACATGTCAGGTGACATGAAGCTAACTCCTGCCTTTATTCCAGTGTTACTTCAAAATCAAAGGGTTGGGACTTCCTGATGACCACAAAGGGGACATTGTTATTTGAGCAGACAAGCACCAGAGTAACAATATGTCACTTCATGGCACCTGCCACCTACTGCCCTCAGATATTTCCTGGTGATCAGTCTTAACTATTTTGAACTGGTCCTAAGAGGACACTTTAGCCTCTTCTTAGCTTATATCAATCACACTTCAGCCAGATTGACTAAGAATAAAATAGCCTCTCAGACTTCTGTCTGCTATTGGCTCTGCCGACTTTTTGTCCCTCACCAACTCTAATTTCTTCAATGCTTAATACCTTGCTGTCAAATGCAGCAGTACAGACTGTCAGACAGTGAAATGATTGCTTTATGATCACATGAAAATGGATAACAGAGTTATTTTTTGTTTGAAATTAGATGATAAGAGAATTTTGTGAAGTGATTTGTTTGGAACAAGTGTGTATATGCATCTCATGATTCTTGACTTTGTTTTGTGAGTGTTGGAAGCCCTCAACTATAAGTACTGCTGGAAGTGGATGTTGTCAGTAGGTGGCACCCCACTGGATGGGACTGGAGCTTTTCTGAGCTTCATTAAAGACTCTGAAAAAGCTTAAGCAGGTGCTGTTTATTCTTTGAACATCAGGACATGGCGAGCGTAACAAAGCCCGCAAGCACCCGTAGGCGTGAGGTGCAAGCGGGGCTTATGCCTGACCGACACAAGTCGGCATGAGGCTATGTTGAGAATAAGCGGAGGAATTTTTTGTTTTCAATTTTAAAATCACTCAATTTTTTATGACTCTCATCCTTTGATCCCAGCTGAGCGCTGGTATGATGTCCTGAATCCTGTCGATTCAGTTTCATCACAGTATCTATTGTATTTTTTCTATCTTTTTTTGAAAACATCACCTTCTTGTACGTTTTTCGGTCCTTTAGTGTTTTCTCTTTTAGCCATTAAAGATTTTAATTTGCCAAATGACCGTTGAGAAAAAAAGCCATACCCTCACATGAAACGGAACACATGTGAAAGATCTACTCATAAGTAGAGAGATCGAGAGAGAGATTGAGAGAGAGAGATTGAGAGAGAGAGAGAAATCGAGGGGAGAGAGAGATCGACCAAGAAAAAAAAAGCGAAAACGATCAACAAAGAAGTAAGCAGAAATAAAGAGAACCCACCCAGATTCATCCTCATTGATCTCTCTCGCTGATACACAACTGTTTTTTTTTTCATTCAGAGATAGAGAGAGATCGAATCAATTTGAAAAATCAGAGTTTCAGTCTTGAGGTTTCAAAAAAGCTTACCTCTATCGCCAATTTTCGAACGATCCGAATCGGTTTGCGCTGTCCAAACGGCGAGGTGTTGATTGGTCGGTGAGGTGTCTATTTGATTGGTCAGTGAGGTGTCGATTGGTTGTATGCGGCGGGTAGAGAGAAGCGTTAAAAAAAAGACAGCCGTTGAGAAAAAGGCGAAAACCATAGAAAAAAAGAGATGTGCTATAAAAAAAAGAGCACTCCGAAAAAGCCATGGCCTTGCTGCTCAGCGGCCATGGAAAATCATGAAACTCAAAGTTTCATGAATTTATTTTATCATGAAGGGGGATACATAAGGCCTCGTTTGGCCGTCCATGATCGTAATAGACCGTCATTGCATATCGTCAAATCAGAATCTAGGTTTGACTCTTCCAGGCTGTGCAAATGACGCAGCCTGAAAAGCCATATCAATGTTGATGTGGCTGTTTGGTGCGCCTCGGGAATGGATCATTGGAACGGTGATTTAAGAGGACAGGGAGGCATGATACTGGTGAGAGGGGGTGATGTTCAGATGGGGGGTGACATGGAGTTGTTGTAAGTGAAACGAGAGGGTGGCGAGAGTGATGAAGGGTCACTTATGACTCAAACTTTTGGGGGGACCCAAAATATTGGATTTGGCAGGGAGATATATCTCGTTGGCCACTTTCGTCATATGTGAGTGGTTATGACGGGTCCTCCCAAACGCGTTCATGAGGCCCCGTCATAAGCTTCGATCCCCCGAAATATCTGCCATGATCGTTTATGACGATCATGGACAGCCAAACAAGGCCTAACAAATTTCTGAATTGACAGTTTGATAAAGAAAAATACAAGATTCAAACTATGAAGAAAAAAAAAAACTCGTTGAAAACTAAGGGCTGCAGGTGCTCACAGCATCGACTGCCACCAAAGCTTGCACATTCCCTCAAGCGGAAGTGCTTCATTATTCCCAAGTCCTCTCCCTGCGGGAGAGTCCCTGGTGCTTGCACACTCGACAAGCGGCTACAGTGCACCACGCCGCAGCAGGGACGCGGGCTTGTGTTAAGTTCGAGGACATGGAGGTCTTGACATAAAAAATTGGATTGTCCATCCTGCTCCAGTACAACACAGGGTTTGTCGGGATACCCCACGGGGTATGTAGCAGGACGCGCCTCTACAGACACCGGGCGGCTGGGTACAGTCTGTATACGACAGAGGCCAGTCAAGTAACCGAGCATAACAGGCACAAGCACAACATGGCCGAACACGCGATATCGGCAACAGCAGCGGAAATGAACATATCTGTTCATGCGTACCAGACCACGTTAACGATTCCTGATCGGCCCACCTTGCCGGATTTCTTGTTCCATTTTACTCGTCTCACTCAGTCGATGATGATCTGGATCGGCACCGTTTCAAGTGATCATTCGGCCGGCCATTCTGCAGTCGATACCTGCTTGGCCAAAGATTGGTCTTGTGCTGTTCCTCCTTCAACAGTTGAGTATATTTTTTTTGTTATATTACGAACTCTCTTTTACGTTTAGATACTGAAATCTTCCTCTCTCTTTTTTTTTGGCTTTGTTGCGTGCGACCATGATCAGTCTTTCCCGGCCATCTCAACTCGCTTGAATTCGTCTAATCCGACAGACGGATTCAGTCAAGCGTTGGCCCAAAAAATAGGTCAGATGTCGTCACCCAGTCATCATCTCCTCTGCAATCGTCTTCGTTTACGATCAAAGTGGAAAAACAAGGCAACAGCTCGGAAAATAATGCGTGTCTGTTTTGCTTTGCTGATGATTGACTATCTAGCTCAGAAGTTCAGAATACAAGCGTTTGTCTCAATCGATCTTCCCGCTTCACTCCTCGGATCGGATTCGCAGATCAAGTTCGCCCTCGAAAAACAGCTTTTTGGTCATATTCAATCCTTACTATCAACAAAGACTTCACAGGAGCCTAAAGAGAAAACTTGTTGACCACTGCATGAGTTTATCATCTCCTATAACACAATTAATCCGCGTGCAAATGTCAGCCTTGTGGGGTAATCGCATGAATTGAGGTGGACAAACGAACGTTTTTCAATGAGCATGCTCGTCATCACTGGGATGATTGCCAATCTAATCTGTTGTACCAGTCGATGAGGTTAATCAATAAATTCATGGTCTGGTTGTGGAATGCTTAAAATCAGATATAAGGGTTATATTAAAAGACTCGATAAATTAGCATAATTGCCTATTCTTGCATTTTGCACCTGTCAAAATGTTGAACCAAGTCAAAGGGCCTCAACAAGATCAGAAACCAAGGCGTCTTGAGCGGGCGATTCGGCTGAGGCTTGTATTTCGGACACTGGTAAAGCGTCCACGACGTCCACAGTATGCTGGACCATGTGGATGCTGCCATTGGCCGGTTGATTAAGCAAGGTGTCGGCCGTCTGGAAGATGAGTGCTGCCGCTGCGGCTCCGATCCTTGCGCTTAGTTGCAACTGATACAGACTGTCAAGTGGTTGGCCTTGAGCGGTTGGTCGGAAATTTTGGAAATTGGCTACTTCTTGCGAATTCACTTTGAAGTTCCTCGACATCGGTGGGTTTTGGACCGTCAGTTTGGTTGCTGAACAGCTCCATATCACGCCGTTGCCAATGGCCCACCCGTGCCTTTTCATGCCAACTTCCCTGTCAGCTTCAATCCCAATCATTTGAGACGCTAAAACAGGAACAAGAGAGAAAGAAACCCGACAACTCACCCGGTGCCCATGATGCCACGATTTTTCAAGTTGATCTGCCCAACATGCGAGTTCTCCTATATCATTGAAATAAATAAAAAAAAGATGCGACCAAGAACATCATATCAATATTGTCAGTATCAAGCCATTGGGAAAATTCCAATTCAGATATACACACTACTAAAAACCCAGTACTCCATCGCTGATGAGGTTCGATCATATGGTGAGCGGATCCAGTAGCAATGTATCCAGAGACAACATTCGGCCCGGCTGCTAGCCGACCAGTTGAGACGATATATGAGGCCGTATTCTGGTTCCCAAGTGTTCTTCCTCGTAGAAGCAGAGCTTGCGATCCGCCCATGGTGATATCGAGTGGTAAAGCACCTGTTCCACCGTTTGAGGTCGGAACATCCCGGATAATCACGAAATCGGAGAGCGTGATTCTTCGACTAGGCTGGGTCAGATAGGAAAATTCAATGAAGCCCGTGATTTGGATGTTCTTTATCCAGCAGTCCTCTGCACCCCCAATCTTGATCGGCAAGATAGTCGGGGTCCCAACCACTAAGCTAGATGAATCAGGCACTTGAGTGAGCACCATGTTCTCAATTCCGGCCTGTTGAACTCGGATTGGTGCTTGATAGGCAACAATACTGGCGGTATTCTCAGACAATGAGACGTTGATGGAATCTGTCAAAGGAACTTCCCAACTGATCCGATTTCCATCGATGGCTACAATCTCTCGCTCTTGGTTGACTGGAGTGTTGGGAGCAAGCCAGACTTCTCGTTTTCCATTTCGGACCAAACTGCTCATATTCATGGCATCAATCCATGATTGAGTGACGAGACGATGTACGGCGATACTTTGGCCAACCTTGAACAGGGAGGCGTTCTCCACCTCCACGAATTGTGCTCCAACACCAACGTAATCTTGATTGATTGCGCTCTTGCCTTCTTCTGGGCGCAAGGATCCAGAGGCTTTAGGATCCCCGATCTCGAACAGATTTCTGGGCGGGCCTGAGACTCGGAGTAATGTTGTGGAGGGCGTGCTTGATTGACCTCTAAGGACCACAAAGGAGGGCAGACGAATGCTGTTGTTACTCGATAAGAGGTATGTGCCTGCTTCAAAGAAAATCACGCCAGGGTTTCCAGCCAAAGAATCGATCGCAGCTTGAATTTCATCCGTCCGATCGTCCTCCTCATTGGTAGGCGAGATGGTCATTGTGATGTTGTCTAACGAAGGAATGGGGACGCTTCCAGATCGATAACCAGCATAGGAAAAGTCAGGCAAGCTGTCCACAGGATTTGGATAGACAAAATGACTCACAGCCGAGTCCAAGTGTGACTGCTCGAGGGGATTGAGTGTTGAGGCGATCGTGTTGGAAGATCGGAGACACCTCGGCGGCGATTGCTTGTCTTCGAGCTGTCTGCGGTACTTTGATAGTAGCTTCGCTTCACATCTCGTTGATCGGCTGAGACTCATCGGCATCATCAACAATATCACATA